CGCACCCAACCCGAGCCGTTTATATCCCTATACAAATTGTTAGTTTTTAGTATTTTGTGAGATTTTGCATGACAATAGTTTAAAATAGACAACTGTGGAGGTTTGAAATATTTTTCCCCTTGAGGGAGAGCTTTGCCGCCCTTCTAGTCCTACCGGCTCGATTCTAGATTAGTTGGTTCACATGTGAATTCGAAAATTCGAAGGTTCCCTGTACAAAAAAAAAAAAAAAAATACTTTTCCCCCAAATTTATGACCGGATAGAGATGGACCACCGCAGTCATCTGACGTGCCCATGCCACGTGTTTCCAATCGAAAAATTACTATGCCAGCCTGGCGATCTAACCAAAAACATCACCTCATTATGTTTACAATTTCACCCCTGCATTAAACATCAAATTCACATTTACCCCTACCACTATAAAAGAGGCAGCCCCACTTTACCGTTACAGCATTTCTGCCTTTTGCTTTTCCCAATTCTCTCTCTAAAAAAAGTCCCTTTCACTTCAAAATCCACCGGAAAATCACACCATCCGATTAGGGGAACAAAAGCGCCGATGAAGTATCAACCGCCGACCAACTTCATGTCGTCCCTCAGAGCCGTTCTCATTTCCACCGGCGTTTTATCAGCGGCGATTGTGCTGAAAGTCTCGGCTCCGGCCATCACAGATCTCGCCGGATGTCTGCCGTCGGTCTACAACAGCTTCATTTCGTGGCTGAGGCCTCCGTACCTGTACCTTGTCGTCAATTTCATCATCATCGCCATCTTAGCCTCCTCCAAGCTCCAGTCCGAGAAGTACGACGAAGAGATGCCGTCGTCCGCCGCGAGCTCCGCCGTACGGAGGAAGCTGACGGAGGCTGAAATATCTCCGGCGCACTATCCTACGTCGGATTACGAGTACGACGGCGTTTCACTCAGCGGTACCACGGTGGAGCAGGGGAAAGGATCCGAGCTCGACTCGTCCGAGCGTGCGGATGCGAAAGAAGTAATTGTTCCGTTTGTGAGAGATGCGACGAGCAATAAAGAGAACGAGTTCGTGATTGGTAAATCCACGAGCAACGGAGGCTCGGCTGAAAATTCTCCGGCGAGGGTGAGACCGACTGTTTCTGGGAGATACGGTCACCGGAGAAATGTGAAAGCGAGTCCTGAAGGTAAATTAACTTTTCTATCTTGCTTGATTAGATTTTAATTGATTAGCATAATGTTTAGCCGCTGGGGAAAAATAAATTAATAAATTATGGTGTAAATTTGACCGTTGGAACTTTACTCCATAGATGAGCGTGCTGTGTAGACTGTGGAGTAACGTAACATAGCTTTTGCGTGACTGACGCTGACCACCTACTGGCCAGCTCATATCGAATGTCCAAAATGTCCTTGGGGTTTGAACTTTGAAGTATGTTAAAAGTGTGGGCCCCATTAATGCCCCCTTACTCTTATTAATATCAGCGGTAAACAAGCCGAGCTGAGCTCCTAATACTCAAATTGGGACTCGAGCGTTTAGTCAGTTACGTAAATGAGTCGATAAACGAGCGGAACTCGAACTTTAACGAGTTATAGTAAAATTACATAACCCATAGTTCTTTGCAGACATTTTGTTCTGATTTATCAATCCCTTCTCTTATATTATTTTGGAGGGTAAGCAGTGCAATTTTGAATATAGTCAATTATTTTGTTGGTCTAACTAGCAAGATTATTAGTTATTCTATGTTATTTTCTGTTTTTTGGACTGTGCTGGATCACTGTACTGTCACTTTTTTAATGAATAAACAAAACACATGAATGATATAAACTCAATAGGAGGACTCAGGAGTTGGTTATGAATTTCCTTCCGTGACAACTCAAATCTATTTTTGTAGTAGTTTTTTGAGACTGTTCGTAATTTTCGGGTGGGATATCGTAATTAATTTTCTCATCGTCAGGCGTGAGAACTGTGCTGGGAGTAACGAGAACCATGATGAAATCCGACACCTGGGCACCCAACAACAGGCCCCGCCAGCTGCCGGAGAAGACTCTGCCACCAAAGACGATGAAGAAAGCCGAGACCTTCAACGACCGGACAAATACACGGAGCCCGAGCCCGTCAACCGGTGGGCCTGGAAAGCTCCGGCAGGAGGCTTCGCTGAGCCACGATGAGCTGAACCGGCGAATCGAGGCTTTTATCAAGAAGTTCAATGAGGAGATGAGGCTGCAGAGGTAGGATTCAAGTCGCTCAACCGCAGTTCCATGGATGATGATCGATTAATTATGTTGATGCCAAAAAA